TATGTTGGATACAGTGTAACCCGGATATAAGAGAGTTGTCGGGACCGGAGAAGAAGTCTCTTATATCCGGGTTTGGTCTATTTTATATACATTAACACATGCTCTAATTTGGGACCAGAGAAAGTCTCTTATATCCAGGTCTCTTATATCAGGGTTACACTGTACTAACAAAAAAGCAGTGTTGAGTGCAAGGTCACTTTTAAATGGGTTGAACTCCCGGGTTTATAACAGTGTATAAAAATCAGGATAAACATTTAAAATTTCACTTTAAGAAGAAAATTAAAACAGGATTTAAAAGAAAAGGTGAGTTAAAATCAAAGTTATCTAAACAATTTTTAAACAAACTTAACACACTCGAAAATTTCAATTTTAAATAGTTTTTTTTTTTTTTTTTTGAATTCATTTTTTATTAGAACACAAATTTTCAATTGTGCAAAGACATAATAAATAGATAGAGGTACTTGTTTATGTACAGTGGAACCTCAATTTAACGGACTAATTGGGAGGATCGTCTGATAATGGATTTTTTTGTCCTTAATTTGAATCACGTTTTTTCGTGGCCTAAAACACCCAGAACAGTATTAAAAAAAAATGTAAATAAATGTAAATACAGTATGTGTATTTTTTTACGTTCTATTTTAAATCAAGTCTGAAAAGTTTTAATAAAGTTAAAAATCCGTAGTCCGTTGTTTCTGGGACCATTGTACCTCCAAATATTCACAAAAAAAAAAAAAAAAAAAAAAAAAAAAAAAAATGAGCATACATGAAAAATGCACAAAGAAAGAAAACGTTTTATTGTCAAAGGATTTTTTGCTAAAACATTTTATTTTTAATCCTTAGAAACTTCCAAATTTTGGTTTAAAAAATCTCGTTCTCTTGTGTCAATAAGGGGCCATAAATTAGTATGGGAAATTTTTTGCGGCAAAAAACACATTGATTTGGAAATTCTTGCAAAAAACAAATTGTCGGATTTTTTAAAATTAATTAAACTTTCAGGTCTTATTCACAAATTAATTATTTTTAAAACATTTCTTTAGAAAATCTTGGTAAAAAAAAAATTTTTTTTATATTTGTTACGCCACACTTATTTTTTATGAAATTGAGAAAATTATTTTTTGTAGCATTTAAATGTAAAAACTAAAGACAAGCAGAAATCCTAGGAGAATTTTTTAAATCAAATTTCTTTTAGGCAACAAACAGGCTCCGCAGAGCAAATCAACTGAATTATAAAATAAAAATAAAAAAATGGATAAAAAACCTAAGACAATAGACACTAATTAGAAATGCTTTTCTCTTAAGAAAAAAAAAAAAAGTATGGAAACAGATCTTTAAAAAATTTTTTTTATGAATAATGAATTTTTTAACTTTAAATTGTTTCATATTTTTAAAATCTTTAATGTAATAATTTATAAACTTTTACAATTAAAAACTCATAAATGATAAATGTTAAAAAGCTTACTTCAATTCAGTGATTCCAGTATTTTTAAGAGAGTGTGTGTGTGTGTGTGTGTGTGTGTGTGTGTAAATGTGACGATTTTTGTATGGATCATAAATTCATGTCATTATCAGAAAATAAAAGCATTAATATTTAATATTAATATTTATTGGTAATTTTCTCATCTTCGTAAGTAAGACTATAAAGCCAAAGTACATAAAATCCAATAGAATGTTTTTAAAATTTTTAAGTACTGGATATAAAGAAAAAAATGATACTGTGTTACAAGTAATTGCTTAGAAATCTCGCAAACGAACATCAAGAAAAACACCCACCTCCGTGTTTAAAAAAATGCTTTTCTACTATATTTTAAAATAAAAGTAATTTGCTTTAAATCCAAATTAATTAAGCTTTAAATCTGTTAATCTTCCTCAAAGTTTCAGAAAGATATATTTTAGAGAATTATGCTGTGATGACACATTTGTCAATAGTCAATTTTAGAGATTTCAAAAAAAAAAAAAAAGTCATTTTCAATTTTCATCAATTTAAATTCAGTTTGAAATACACACAGTAATGTAGCTTTTAATGGAAATATTAAATTTTAAGCTTTCAATTAAAAGTAAAATTAAAATAAAAGCAAGAAAGATTTTTCATTTTTAAAAATGCATCTTTAAACCTGGGGGAAGGTACCTATTTAAATAGTATTAAAATTTTCTGATTTGCAGATATTTGATCTTTAGGAAAAAATTGATAAATTATGAATAGATAGACGATTATGTCATAGTCATAGCATTTGAACACTGGGTTGAAAATGAAAGCATTTCAAAGTTGTCGTAATTCAAAAAGTAATAATTGAAATAGCTCTCTAGCAAGTAAAAATTTCAGAAGCATGTTAAAACTAAAGCAGATGAATATATCAAAACTACCGGCTCCAGGAGAAAAGATCTAAAAATAAAATCCAAAACAAGATGTGGGGGAAAAAAAAAAAGAATTTTCAACCAATCAATGATGGTTTGAATAAAAATACAAAATCCTTTGAGTTAGTAACTCCTGAAAAGAAATACGAAACATTGCAACAGGTCGTAGTCAGTCAAATTACCAAAGCTCGTCTATACTGTATACACAAAGAGAGAACCGATTCGACTAGTGATCAAGAGTAAAAAACACACCGACCACTGAAAATATATGGCATCTTTCTCGAAGTCGATACATCCTATTTCTAAAAACTGAGTTAGACATTTTAAAATTTAAAAATGGATAATCAATTTATGAACATTTCAAATGATATTATAAAATCGACTTAACGCCTTTACATTCAAAAATTGTGAAAATATTGCCGTTTTAAATACAATTATTAAAAAGTTTTTATTTCTTAAACACTGTTGTTGAGTGTTGCTATTCCCAATTTACCCACAATAACTTTGTAATTAACTACTTTTTTAATCCATTTATTTGCTCACTTTTTATTTTATTTTAACTCGTTTAAAATTTTAAGTGTAAGTAAGTGAATGGTAAAAAAAACTTTCATTTTTTTTAAATAAATGAAACAGAAAGAAAAGAAAAAGATCAATGTTTATTCAACTTTAATCCAAATATTCAAAAAATAGAAGCATCATCATTTCTAAAAATAAAGTTATTTAAAGAAACTTTTTAAAAACCTTATTTTAGAGATCTTTTTCCCCCAAATAGAATTTTTTTATGGATGGTGGAATCTGGATTTTGGCAGCAGGAAAATTTTAAGATTTTTATTTTTCCTTAAAAAAAGGGGCAAGAAAGGAAATTTACTTTTTCTATTGTTCCTTATCTTTGCTCTTACTTTCTGTGATATCGACTTGAGAGTGACAGTAAGTCTTTGAGATCGAATAGAAAGATGAGAAATTAAAAGTAAAAAATAAAAAAAAGATTGGAGAGGTGTGAACAATTTATTTTTTGAAGAAAGAAAAAAATAAATGAAGCTTTTTTTTTGATCATTTCTACTCGAAACTTTTTTAATTAAGAAAAATAAGCTAGAAAGCTGTCTTTAGTCTTTAAAAGACTCTTACTCTCTAGTCTCCTTAGAGGTTAAGGAACAAGGGAAAAATATCTGCTTTTTTTCTGTATGTATTACAACAAACAATATTTACTTTTTGAACATGTATTCGAGAATCATTTAATAAACTTCTGAAAGCAAGTCTTTCATTTTGCAAAGTAAAATGTTGTAGAAGACGATGAAATCTTGGTGTTGTGTACATTTTACACTACAGTTAATTGGTGTTTCAATGTATACAGAAACGTGCATTGTCGATGCAGAAAACAGTTAAAAATCTAAAAAGAAAAAAGTGGTTTCCAAAATAAATCTGATTGGTAATTCAGACAATAAACCCCACTATATACCTCTTCTTTCAAAGGAAGATGTTTTTAATTTTAGTGCTTTTTTATTATTACTTTTTTCTAAAAGTTAAAAAAAAAAAAAAAAAAACTAGTGTTACTGCATAAAATGATTTTTATTTTCAAAGAATTTTTTAGCCTATTCTTATTTTCAATAATGTCCAAAGTTTTCATTTATTAAGAAAGAAAAAAGAAAAAATACATTTCTTTTTTTTCTTTTGCATAGCAACACATTAATTTTTTGACAAAGGAAAATAAAATTATCAACTAAAGCAAAGATAAACCAAATAAAGTTTTTTTTTTGTCATCAGTTAAAAAAAAAAAAAAACTTTAAAAAGAAATAAAAATCGAAACTAACTTATCCAAAAAAATGAGGAAAAAGTGAATTATAAAAGTAAAAGAACAACAATATCAGCATTCAACAGTTTAGCATTGAGTTCCTCTTAACAAGTGCTTCATTTTAAAATATATAAAAAATGTCAATTTTTGATTCGTCTCAAATTCAACTTGCAATGTTTTTCTTTCCTCGTGTCAAAACTTTTGACATTATTTGGAGGTCGTAAGAAAATGAACAGAAAAAAAGAAGAAAATACAAGATGCGAAAGAGGGAGAACAAAGATTTCTCTAACAAAATGAAATTGTCATTGATCCTTTAAATTAAAATTTAAAAACATACGCATTTAACTTTCACTTGCTTGGATACATCATTTATTTATTTATTTACAGTTGTCATTTAAAAATCAATTTCATTCAAAGCTAATAAGTCTTTTCAATTTATTAATTTTTCATATACTTTTTAAGTTGTGTTTACTTTTTTTTATAAATTAGTTATAGAAAATTTATGCCTTTTTCTAAATGTGCTTTTCTTACTAATTCTTCTGACGAGAAATGATGTTCAGTGTTTTTCAAGAAAAAGTTACTTTAGAAAACAAAAACTAAATTTTGCAAAGTAGTTAAAGAAAAATAGAACCAGCGATTTTTCTTTTTTTTTCCAAGTAAAACGTCTATTTTCTTCTCTTGGGTTTTTTATTTATTTTTCAAGAAGTGAAATATCTTCTTTTTAATTTTTTGACTACTGACTACAAGAAGAAAACAAAAGCTGTGAGAAGAGAGCAACTAAAAATAATGACATGTCATCTTTTCAAAAACTAAAAAACAAAGTAATAAAAGAAAAACAAATAAACAAATGTCTTTTTACCTTTTAATCCGTAGAATACATTGATGTGAAGGTTTCTCTTTATCCCAATCTTTACTTAGACAAGGATCCCAATGGGAAAACGAATAAGTCGAATGTGCAGGCATTTCTTCGGCCAGAACAAGATTCGGCGACTCCTCCGTGTTTGCAGCCGCCATCTTCTTAACTTACATTTCACAACTTCCGGGGAAAGGAACACATGTGACTTTACCCTCCTCCCTCCCTCTCACTCTCGTTCTGCTGCTGCTGATAAATCATCACCCAACAACAACACAAGCATTACGAAAAGCATCACTACAAGCAATAGCAGTAGTATTACCAATGTTACCAGAAGTTCTTGTAATAAAAAAAAACAAAAAAGAAAAACGCGATCACCACAGAAAACTTTAAGTGTTTTTCCAATAAAAAGATCTTATCCGTACATAATTTTGAAGTTTAAACGATAACTCAAAAACAAGTATCAAGATTGCTAAAGTGAATTTCTTCATGTTTTTTTTTTATCCGTAGGGTCCTAGGGGCACACTATAGCCACAGTAGAAGTGATGTTTCTTGGGCAAGAAAAGAGAGCCTGACGGAGCCCAGCCCTTCTCCAGACCGGTTTTGAATTCAGAGTTTTCCTTCTCCTAGACCAGTTTCCACCCAAGGCTATAGAACCCAGTCTGTCCTACTATTTACCCATAGCTGGGAGGAGAAGAAGAGGATGCATACCTTTCCAAAGTCTATTAGCACGAATGTAAATGGATCTGACTGGAATTCAAACTCGGCTCTACGATTCATCAATCCAAGCTGCTATCCATTACTCCCATGAATTTCTTAATACTGAATATTAAATATTCCAATGTTTATTCACCACATCAAGTTCAGAACATGGAACATTTTCCTGTCTTTTTATCTACAGGCCTAGTAGTTAAAGTACGAGGGTCATTCAATAAATAAGGTGAATTTTTTGGTATAAGGACTTCTAATATAGATAGGTTACTTTTTTTCTTTTTTTTTTTTTAATGTAGTCTCCCAGCACTGTCACACACTTTTCCCATCTGTGCACAAGCTTATGTATTACCTCAGCATAAAAATCTCAGCCAGTCACTCACAACACTTTTGACTTCATCGTCACTTTTAAACTTCGTGCCTCTCATGAATGCTTTCAAGGGACCAAACAGGTGAAAGTCTGAAAGGGTAAGGTCTGGGCTGTAAGGGGGATGAGGGAGCAGTTCCCAGCCCAGCTCGTTGATGGTCTGCACCGTTTGGGCTGCTGTGTGAGGCCTTGCGCTGTCATGATGCAAGATGACTCCTTCTGACTGATGACTCCTGCATTTGTTCTTTATGTCTTTCTTGACCTGCCTCAGCAGTTCACAGTAGTTCTGCTGTCAGACTGAATGAGGTCATTGACTGATTCGATCACCTCAAGAGACCTCACTTCTGTAGGCCTGTCTTCATCCTCAACACTGCTCCATCCTTCTTTAAACAATTTAGCCCACTTGTAGGCATTTTTTTGGCTGAAACATGTGGCACCATACACAGTTGAAATTCTCCTATGAATTTCAACTGGTCTGCACCCTTCAGCAACCAAAAACTTGATAACTGACTGCTGTTCAATCCTGGAGCATGCTTCTTGGTCAGCCATCTTTGTTCATCGCCAAAACTCTCAAAGTTTTTTTTTAATCTGCAAAAGAAATTAAAATGAAAAAGAAGTAAAACAAAAATAAATAAAAGTAAGCTTCTATCTGTATTAGAAGTCCTTATACCGAAAAATTCACCTTATTTATTGAATGACCCTCATAGTTGTGTATCTCCCTATTGAACAAGTGATCTGTTCAAGTTCAGATAAAAATAACAGGATTTCCAATGATAATTTTCCAATGCAGACAGGATTGATACAATAAAATCTTTGTAGCATGCAGTGAATGTGTCATGTCCATAAAAAAATAAAAATTAATTATAGTATTAAAAAAATAATTATAATAAAATAAGTTATAATTATTTATATCAGTTATAATTATCATTAATTCACTCATTAAATCAATGAGAACTGGCCCCATCTCCTCTACACGCACAAACACATGACATGCTATTGATTTTCTAAGCATAGCTTAGATGCGGCACAAGGCCGAAAGTATGGGGCACCCAGTGAGGATCGAATTTACTACTCGGTCGTAATTGTTCTAGCAAGACAAGCTTGCTAGCCATTACTCCGCCTAAACATGTGACATGCTATCAGATAAGCAGTTCACACATACAAGTCGTTAACATGCACATCAACAAAAATTTCATCTCCTTTACCTTTTCAAACCATAATAGTAACATTTATTTTAGTAACAAAAATTCGAGGTAAGAAAACTGCAGACACATCTTGTATTTTTCAACTAAATTATCTGGACACTCATTACACAGACCTATAAAAAAAAAAAAAATACATACAAGAAAGATTGCATACACTTTACTTATTTTTTATCTTATCTTTCTGTCAGATTCCAATCTATATTTGATCTACATTTGATCGCCAAACTGACAATTTTACTCAGTATTAATGTTTCTTGTGTCTCCAACACCACATAGCAACCTGATAATAAATAATACTTGTTTTGTTGTTTCCACATCTTGCTGTTTCACTTTTTTATGAGGATTTTTGTATATATAAATATTGGGGGGGGGTATAATTATTTATTCAGAGTTATAACTCCCCTCCTTCACCCACTACTATCAAATTTGGAGGGCTGAGGAAAAAGAAGGAAAGGAATTTGTGAGCCTATGTGAAATTTTTGTTGGACCAATGAAAACCTTGTCTTTACAGAAATTAGCCTGTCAGCCAAGAAGAAAAGAAAAGTAGCAAGTCTATGCAAAATTCTTTTTTATATGAAAATGAGAAAAATTAAACTAATAATAGAAGAGTGTCTGACACCACATGAAATGTTTTGTTCAACACATTAAGGACTGAAGTTCTTACCAGTGTAAATTTATTTGCCAATTATATTGTCAGCCTCTAACCAAGCACATGGCACTTCAAAGAATTTTCTCTCAACAATCCAAGAAAGCAAAGTATTTCAAACTATCTCTCTTCATCTATTTTTGAATGTATGCAAACCATATATCCCTTCAGTGAGCAACAAACACACTTACCTTTGTTTTAAACATTTTTGAATATTATTTTGTATCAGATCATTTAATCTGTTGTATGAACATTTCCTCCTCGTGACAATATGTTAAATCTACAGATTTTAAAAGTTTATGATTTATTTTCCTGAAACAAGCTACTGACAAATTCAAGCGTGTAAATTTGAAATAAAATCTTTATCTTGTTTTGTGAAAATTCCCCATGTGTTGCCTTGTCATTATCATCTTTCATTAATCTTCTTGGTGTGGGTAAATCAACTGATCATTTTAATCCCAAAACCCAACACCACTATAATCTGGTGACCCTTGATTTGCAAGGAAGTAAATACCTATTCTTCCTGTGAACAAGTCTGACAATAAACAAGAGATGAATAAATAATCGTAGGAGGTCAGCAAAGTGATACAAACAGTATCCATTAAACCACATGTGTTTCTTCCACATTATCATCCTTCAATAAGGTAAATCAACTGTTCATTTGAACCCCTAAGCTCCACGCCACTATAATCTAGTGACCCTTGACTTGTGACATACCTTTTCTGCATGTGAACATATCTGAGAATAAACAGATGAATCAAGCATCCTTGGAGGTCAGCAAAGCAATACAAAGAGTATCCATTTAACCACATGTTTCCTCCCCATTATTATCCTTCATTAATATTCTTGTGGTGGGTAAATCAACGGTTCTTTTTAACTCCTAAGCCCCATTCCACAAAAACCCATTCACTCTTTTACTTCTTCTTTTATGTGCCATATAATCTCATGATGTGGGCAATCATGAGTCTCCATGACTTCCTATCTTTTCTAGCTTTAAGCGATGTTTATTCTTGTATTATCCCTTCCAGTTCCTGGTCTTTACAGAAGCTGATCACTTTGGTAATTCAATGTTTCTGTTTGCCTATTTTGCCTTCAATATGTCCTGTGAATGTGAAATTCTCCAAACGTTCTTTCCTTATTATTTTTTATTTTTATTATTTTAACTGTCTCTTTCCAATTCTAAGTATAAGTGTTCTTTTTGTTTCTGTTTTCCTCAAAACTCCCTTGTTGTTCACATGTGCCATCCGCGGTATTCTAAGCATCCTTCTGTATAGCCACATCTTTGTTACTTTAATCTATCTCTTTATCTGTGAGGAAATCATTCAGCATTTACTGCCATATAAGAGGATTGATGTTACATAGCAGTTCATCATTGCAGGACTAAATTTTTGGGGATTATCCCCCCCCCACAAACACACACTAGCACACACACTTTTTCTGCCAAGACACCTGCACTGTTCAGGACAATAAACAAATGATTATAACCCTTTCGCCTTCTCTTTTTGCTTTGGATGTAGTCATGATAACAGATTATTATTGGTTTGAACAAAGTCAAGACTATGAGGTGGCTGTTGTAAACATCTCAACAATTTAACTGAAATCTTTGTCAGGTCAATCATGTGTGGGTTGGTAACAAGATAGTACCATCATGTAAATATCCTAGTCCATTTTGGTGAATAGTTTTCCTTGGTTTGTCCAGTATTCCTCAGTATTTAAGGAACATGTATTATTTAATGAACATGTAATATAAAGTATTTAATGAACAACTAGCATAAAGTACTTAAGGAACATGTAGTATAAGGTATTTAATATATATATATATATATATATATATATATATATATATATATATATATATTGTGTGTATTTAGGCAGTATTTTTCATTGATGCATGTTTCATTAAATAATATAGACAAGTTTTGTTTATTTATTTTATGTAAATTCTTTTCATATCGTCTGATAAACTTAATAGCATTACCATTAAAAGAAGAAAGAAAATCACAATATTGATACATATTTTTTAATCCTCTCTAAGCTTTTGGCTTATATAAGCCATTATCAAAGATGACAATTTCATTACAATATGTTAAACAATACATGGACAAAACAATATTTAATGAAACATGCATCATATATATATATATATATATATATATATATATATATATATATAATATATAATAATCTTATAAATATAAGTAATTATACTTGTCTGAAAAACCTTAGGTGTTTTGACTTGTAAATGAACAAATCAATACCCAAAGAAACATAAGAAATAAAAAAAAGAAAGAACGAAGAGCATGTAATTCAGGCGAAAACAATCATCCATAATCCAAGATCAGAGTGCAAAGAAAAAAACCTTCAACACGAGTAAAGCAAAAATAACTAAGCAAAGTGCTCAATACACTAAGTAGAGCAAAACTAACTATGAACCTAAAGAACCAGGCAAACCTACCTAAGTTTCACCTATGCGGACATATACTACATATATATATATATATATATATATATATAGTATTTAATGAAACATAATATAACAAAGTATTTAAGGAACATGTAATATCTAATGGACATGTATAAAGTATTTATAGAATGTAGTATTTAATGAGCATGTAGTATTTAACAAACAAGAAGTATAAAGCATTTAAGGAACATGCAGTATTTAATTTAAGAGATAAAGCATTTAAGAACATGTTGTATTTAATGAAATGAATGTGTAGTATTAATGAATACGTAGTATAAAGTTCACAAGCAGCACACCTTTTGAATCCCAGAACAGATTTGCTTCAGTTTATATATATATATATATATATATATATATATATATATATATATATATATATGGTAAAAATGACAATTGAAAAAATCTTAGATTTTGTCGACATGTTTCATCTTCTGACTTTTTCAAGGCAAAAATGAAATCGAAATGTCTTTGTTGTTATAGTTACATTAAAAAATCCAAATTTAAAAAGATAGACACTTCTGTCTAAGCCTTTTTCTTTATAGAGTATCAAAAAGAATTAAACCATTTTGATAATTTAATAGTAAACATTTATTAAGATATTTTCAGATTGAAATTCTGTTCTCATTATATTTCTGATCAGAAGTTTGATGCTTTTTGACTTTAATGTCATCAGCTGTATTATCGTTTCTTAGCCACATTTGAACTGAATTGCTGCAATAGAAGAATTTATGACTAGAAGATTTGTCACATTTTTAACTTCAAGACAATTTCTTTTGCCAGAATAAATTATGTTCATCACAGAAAACCGTCTTTCAGCCTCCTCAGAACTTACAGCAATGGTATTAATTATTTTTTATTTTTTTTATCTATCATATACCTGCTATTAATATATAAAATTATTTTCAGATAATCCAAGAACTGGTTCACTAAGCTTTTATAATTTTAAGAATCAATTTGCGTGAACCAGTAGGATGCTACCACTGGATACACAGTCTAAAAGCACACTGAGGTTATATGGTAATTTCTTCTACATAAGGGGATGCAATTTCAAACCCTGCTAATGGACATATTTTCTTCCTTAAATACTCTTGAAAACCCATACCAGTAGATGCTGATAATTGCACAGTTTAAAAAACAGTGATGTTTACTCAAACACATGCATCCACTAAATATAAAATTTTTAGTAATATATATATATATATATATATATATATATAGTGACAGAATGTGCGTTGCCTGGGGCAGCACTTGAATTTGCCGACCCCATGACTCATGCTTAAAGTTATATATAGATATATATAACTGGTTACTTGTATTCAAGGATATCAATCTACTAGGGTGGCTAGTGAATCCCTATTGTAGACACTTGCTCAAACGCATTTGATTTTATTCAACACCCACAGAGCCCACCTATGGTTTATACTACAACTATGCTGAGTAGACCTTAGTTACAGTTTCTGAGAAAGAGCAGGTTATCTAACATGATCAACAATTTGAACAAGCCCAGCACTGATGACTTTGTGCACGCTCTGTATACCCAATTTCACTCTCACAAGGCTTGGGTCAACCTGTGGTATGGTTTTCAAGCACTTTCCAAAGGTGCCACATCCTGGGATTGACTCCTCCAGTCCAATAATATTAGGAAGTCTCCTTCCTGAGAAATCAACTATGGTGAGATTTGAACCTGAGTCTCATGGTCAGAATGCGAATGTTCTAACCACTATATATATATATATATATATATATATATATATATATATATATATATATATATATATATATATATATATATATATATATATATATATAAGCAAGTGTAAATGGATATAAATCCAACAGAATGAAGAAAAATTTTGAAAAACAAACAAAAAATCCTTAAATGTAGTTAAATGAAAGAAATGTCGACGTCTGACGTTACGGTTTAATAAACCTTTTTCAATTTAATTAATAACTTTAATAGGTTTAAATATTCAATTTAATTATAGCTTTTAACAGGTTTAAATATTCAATTTAATTTATAATTTTTAATAGTTTTATATACTCAATGTAATTTATAATTTTAATAGGTTTAAATATTCAATTTAATTTGTAATTTTTAATAGTTTTATATATACTCAATGTAATTTATAATTTTAATAGGTTTAAATATTCAATTTGTAATTTTTAATTTGTAATTTTAATTTTTAATAGGTTTAAATATTCAATTTAATTTTTAATTTTTTAATAGGTTTAAATACTCAATGTAATTTATAATTTTTAATAGGTTTAAATATTCAATTTAATTTGTAATTTTTAATAGGTTTAAATATTCAATTTAATTTGTAATTTTTAATAGGTTTAAATACTTATAAATCAGTCGTTATGGTGAAATACATTCATTTTCCATTTTCAGAATGTAGAGAATTCTATAAAACAAAGTATTGTTCGACTTTTGTCTGATGAGTTTTAAAATCTTCCCATGTTGTTGATATTATTTCCTAAAATAAATGAACACACCTGGTGCAATATTGTAAATTTCAATTTTTGCTTACTTCTGGACAGCTTGCTTTTAGACACTTCATGTCATTTAAAAGAAAAAAACAAAAAAAAAACTGTCAGGTTTATGTACAACAAATTTAAATTGTCAATAATATGTATAAACATAACCTTTGATAAGACTTGATAATAATCAAAAGATAAATATGCATGTGTAGCTGAATGGTTAGAACATAGATGTTCTAACCAAGAGTCCCAGTTTTTAGTCTCACCATAATTATTTTGTTAAAGCAGTGATTTCTTGATTATATTAGACTGTTGGGTGTGCCTGATAATGATGCTACACCTTAACCCAAAGTGTGTGAATGAAACTTGGTAGACAAAACTGTTTGAAAGTTGTTGACAGTTATACTAGCATTGAAGTTATCATGATGAGGATTTAAGTGCACTTTGTTCATCATGGCAGATCATGTGCTCTGTCACAGAAACTTTAACTAAGGACTGCTCAGAATAATTTACAACTATGTTGAGCGGATAAACTACTAATATAAACCGCTGGTTGGTTCTTTGGATGTTGATCAAACATAAACATGCCTGAGCAGGTGTCTGCAGTAAGGACTAGCTACTAGACAGGTATCCTTAGAAAAAATAAACAGATGACGATTACATTATTCAAATTAAATTTTTACGTCTTTTGATCTGACCAAGTAGATGATGATTTTTTTTTCTGGCAAAGTTGTACTTACCTGTAAAAAAATAGTGTCAAAAGGATGTTTTTTGTCTTGATACCAATATTACTATATACTCTGTCATCAATTTTTATTCTTTTAAAATGTTTATTCTCAAGAATTGACAGCAAAAATGTTAAACACTATTCTTGTAGATAAACAGTGTAATAAATAAATAGTGTTTAACATTTTTGTTGTCACTTCTCAAGAAATACAAAGTATAACTCCAGATACTCATAGACAATTTTAGTGAATTTGTGAAGTGAGAGCAAATGAAAAATATCCAGAAAATGTATTTTTTTCAAAAATGATAATTACAGTTAGTTGTTATGTGTTTATTTTAAAAAAATTGTTTTCTTGTTCACAGACATTTTCATAAACTTATGAATAAAAAATTTGTTTTCAATGATATTTCTTTATAATATGGTAATGGAGGTATATAATATATTGTCACATCAGGTATACCAGATAATGGATGAGTAATAGAAGAAAGATTTATTCTCTCATTTGTGTTTCTAAATTATTGGCATTATTATATCTATGATACAATTACACCTTACTTCATGGATGGAACAGCTGAAAGAAAAGGAATGACAAATATGCTTTGTTCTCAGAGATAGTTTTATGCTGCTAAGTCATACATTAATGTTACTTGGACCCCCAAGATTCATATGGACCCCAGGTGGGAACCATTGATCTAAGTGCAACAGTGCCAAAATGAATGGTACAAAATTTGAACTCACTTCTCTGATTTCATTTTCTGTACCAATATCTGTTACACTACTTGAATATCCTACTTTTTACTGGAAACCAGCTTAAAGAATTAAGAATGAATTTGGTATATCTTCTCCTTGTGATTACTAACATTGGCAATGCAATAATTACAAGGGATGTGACTAACAAAGTAAAATGGGCCATTGCCGTCAAACAACCATTATCACTGATCATGAAAAAATTGTATTCATGTTTTTATTGATGTTTCAATTGACTTGATTAGATGTATAATCTCAAAGAGATCCTTATGCACTTCTTGTCCACACAGATTTGCTATTTCTTTCTATCCAAGGCAATCTTTTCAAGTGTAAGAAGTAGCATTCTGGTGTTCTCTCTGATTTAGTCTTTCAATCTCTTAAGTGTTCTACAACATGGTCTTTTGTGAGGGAAGTTCTCTTTGTAGGATCTATACACAAAGCTTTGTTCTCTTCTTCCAATTAAACCAGTTTGGCTTCCTTCTTCTAATCAGAGTAATTTACAGATTTGGACCACTGTGGTAAAAATAGTACCAGTTGTCATTAGAGCACTGGCACTATGAAAATTAAAATTCATAGTGCCAGAGTAGATTACAGATAAAACACATAAAGTTGGTGTCAGAATTATTGTCTCCTCCCTTAATTATTAATAAAACTGTAAACCCTTGAATTTTCAAGGAAATTCCATGTGCATTTTTTTCATAATTTTAATGTCAAACAATAATGTCAAAAACACCAAACAAACATTTAACATAAAACAAAATTATTGGCTCTCTTTCCTCAATAATCAATCATGTATCCTTCATTCTCACGTATTGACTTTAATTGTTTTGATAGTTCCTTACAAGATGACAAGTATTTTGTTCCATTCTTACTTGGCAATGACTTCTAGTTCCTCAAAATTCAAAATTAATTTCTCTCTCCTGCTTTTTTTCTTCAAATAGTCATATAAATATTCAATGGGGTTTAGGTCAGGACTTTGTGCAGGGTATGCCAGTAAATCAAGTTTGCAGTCATCTAAGTATTTCATAACAATTTATGTTGTATGTCATTTTGGAACATCTAGTCCAAGTTCAAAGGGCTACTCACAGCTCTCACCTCTTTTCCACTTTTCCCTTTCAGCGGCTTCTACATTCAGGCCCAGCTCAAAGGGCTACTCACGACTCTTGCCTCTTTTCCCTTTTAGCGGCTTCTAAATTAAGGCCCAGGTCAAAGGGCTACTCACAACTCTTGCCTCTTTTCCCTTTTAGCGGCTTCTACATTCAGGCCGAGGTGAAAGGGCTACTCACAACTCTTGCCTCTTTTCCCTTTCAGCAGCTTCTACCTTCAGGCCCAGCTCAAAGGGCTACTAACAACTCTTGCCACTTTTCCTTTTCAGCGGCTTCTACCTTCAGGCCCAGCTCAAAGGGCTACTCACAATTCTTGCCTCTCTTCCTTTTCAGCGGCTTCTACCTTCAGGCCCAGCACAAAGGGCTACTAACAACTCTTGCCTCTCTTCCTTTTCAGCGGCTTCTACCTTCAGGCCCAGCTCAAAGGGCAACTAACAACTCTTGCCTCTTTTCCTTTTCAGCGGCTTCTCCCTTCAGGCCCAGCTCAATGGCTACTAACAACTCTTGACTCTTTTCCTTTGCAGCGGCTTCTACCGTCAGGCCCAGCTCAAAGGGTTACTCACAACTCTTGCCTCTTTTCCTTTTCAGCAGCTTCTACCTTCAGGCCGAGGTCAAAGGGCTACTCACAACACTTGCCTCTTTTCCCTTTCAGCAGCTTCTACCTTCAGGCCCAGCTCAATGGGCTACTAACAACTCTTGCCACTTTTCCTTTTCAGCGGCTTCTACCTTCAGGCCCAGCTCAAAGGGCTACTCACAATTCTTGCCTCTCTTCCTTTTCAGCGGCTTCTACCTTCAGGCCCAGCTCAAAGGGCTACTAACAACTCTTGCCTCTTTTCCCTTTTAGCGGCTTCTAAATTAAGGCCCAGGTCAAAGGGCTACTCACAACTCTTGCCTCTTTTCCCTTTTAGCGGCTTCTACATTCAGGCCGATATCAAAGGGCTACTCACAATTCTTGCCTCTCTTCCTTTTCAGCAGCTTCTACCTTCAGGCCCAGCACAAAAGGCTACTAACAACTCTTGCCTCTCTTCCTTTTCAGCGGCTTCTACCTTCAGGCCCAGCTCAAAGGGCAACTAACAACTCTTGCCTCTTTTCCTTTTCAGTGGCTTCTACCTTCTGGCCCCGTTCAAAGGGCTACTCACAACTCTTGCCTCTTTTCCTTTTCAGCAGCTTCTTCTTCATTCAGGCCCAGCTCAAAGGTCTACTCCACAACTCTTGCCTCTTTTTTTTTTTCAGCACCTTCTACCTTCAGGCCCAGGTCAAAGGGCTACTCACAACTGTTACCTCTTTTTCCTTTTCAGCAGCTTCTACCTTCAGGCCCAGCTCAAAGGGCTACTAACAACTCTTGCCTCTTTTTCCTTTTAGCGGCTTCTAAATTAAGGCCCAGGTCAAAGGGCTACTCACAACTCTTGCCTCTTTTCCCTTTTTAGTGGCCTCTACCTTCAGGCCCAGCTCAAAGGCAACTAACAACTCTTGCCTCTTTTCCTTTTCAGCAGGCCCAGCTCAATGGCTTCTAACAACTCAGGCTCAGCCATCAGGGCTCAGCTAAAGGACTCAACTTTGCCTCTTTTTCCTTTTCAGCAGCTTCTACCTTCAGGCCCAGGTCAATGGCTACTAACAACTCTTGCCTCTTTTCCTTTGCAGCAGCTTCTACCATCAGGCCCAGCTCAAAGGTCTACTCACAACTCTTGCCTCTTTTCCTTTTCAGCAGCTTCTACCTTCAGGCCCAGCTCAAAGGGCTACTAACAATTCTTGACTCTTTTCCTTTGCAGCGGCTTCTACCTTCAGGCCCAGCACAAAGGGCTACTAACAACTCTTGCCTCTCTTCCTTTTCAGCGGCTTCTACCTTCAGGCCCAGATCAAAGGGCAACTAACAACTCTTGCCTCTTTTCCTTTTCAGCGGCTTCTACCTTCTGGCCCCGTTCAAAGGGCTACTCACAACTCTTGCCTCTTTTCCTTTTCAGCAGCTTCTTCCTTCAGGCCCAGCTCAAAGGTCTACTCACAACTCTTGCCTCTTTTTTTTTTTCAGCACCTTCTACCTTCAGGCCCAGCTCAAAGGGCTACTCACAACTGTTACCTCTTTTCCTTTTCAGCAGCTTCTTCCTTCAGGCCCAGGTCAAGGGCTACTAACAACTCTTGCCTCTTTTTTTTTTTAGCACCTTCTAAATTCAGGCCCAGGTCAAATGTCTACTCACAACTGTTACCTCTTTTCCCTTTTCAGCAGCTTCTACATTCAGGCCCAGCTCAAAGGGCAACTAACAACTCTTTGCCTCTTTTTCCTTTTCAGCAGCTTCTAAATTCCAGGCCCAGCTCAAAGGGCTACTCACAACTCTTGCCTCTTTTCCCTTTTAGCGGCTTCTACCTTCAGGCCCAGGTCAAAGGGCAACTAACAACTCTTGCCTCTTTTTCCTTTTTAGTGGCATCTACCTTCAGGCCAAGCTCAAAGGGCTACTCACAACTCTTGCCTCTTTTCTTTTCAGCAGCTTCTACCTTCAGGCCCAGCTCAAAGGGCTACTCACAACTCTTGCCTCTTTTCCCTTTTAGTGGCTTCTACCTTCAGGCCCAGCTCAAAGGGCAACTAACAACTCTTGCCTCTTTTCCTTTTCTGCGGCTTCTCCCTTCAGGCCCAGCTCAATGGCTACTAACAACTCTTGACTCTTTTCCTTTGCAGCGGCTTCTACCGTCAGGCCCAGCTCAAAGGTCTACTCACAACTCTTGCCTCTTTTCCTTTTCAGCAGCTTCTACCTTCAGGCCCAGCTCAAAGGGCTACTAACAACTCTTGCCTCTCTTCCTTTTCAGCGGCTTCTACCTTCAGGCCCAGATCAAAGGGCAACTAACAACTCTTGCCTCTTTTCCTTTTCAGCGGCTTCTACCTTCTGGCCCCGTTCAAAGGGCTACTCACAACTCTTGCCTCTTTTCCTTTTCAGCAGCTTCTTCCTTCAGGCCCAGCTCAAAGGTCTACTCACAACTCTTGCCTCTTTTTTTTTTCAGCACCTTCTACCTTCAGGCCCAGCTCAAAGGGCTACTCACAACTGTTACCTCTTTTCCTTTTCAGCAGCTTCTACCTTCAGGCCCAGCTCAAAGGGCTACTAACAACTCTTGCCTCTTTTCCCTTTTAGCAGCTTCTAAATTAAGGCCCAGGTCAAAGGGCTACTAACAACTCTTGCCTCTCTCCTTTTTCAGCGGCTTCTACATTCAGGGCCCAGATCAAAGGGCAACTAACAACTCTTGCCTCTTTTTCCTTTTCAGCAGCTTCTACCTTCAGGCCCAGCTCAAAGGGCTACTCACAACTCTTGCCTCTTTTCCTTTTCAGCAGCTTCTTCCTTCAGGCCCAGCTCAAAGGTCTACTCACAACTCTTGCCTCTTTTTTTTTTCAGCACCTTCTACCTTCAGGCCCAGCACAAAGGGCTACTCACAACTGTTACCTCTTTTCCTTTTCAGCAGCTTCTACCTTCAGGCCCAGCTCAAAGGGCTACTAACAACTCTTGCCTCTTTTCCCTTTTAGCGGCTTCTAAATTAAGGCCCAGGTCAAAGGGCTACTCACAACTCTTGCCTCTTTTCCCTTTTAGCGGCTTCTACATTCAGGCCCAGCTCAAAGGGCAACTAACAACTCTTGCCTCTTTTCCTTTTCAGCAGCTTCTACCTTCAGGCCCAGCTCAAAGGGCTACTCACAACTCTTGCCTCTTTTCCTTTGCAGCGGCTTCTACCTTCAGGCCCAGGTCAAAGGGCTACTCACAACTCTTGCCTCTTTTCCCTTTTAGTGGCATCTACCTTCAGGCCAAGCTCAAAGGGCTACTCACAACTCTTGCCTCTTTTCTTTTCAGCAGCTTCTACCTTCAGGCCCAGCTCAAAGGGCTACTCACAACTCTTGCCTCTTTTCCCTTTCAGTGGCTTCTACCTTCAGGCCCAGCTCAAAGGCTACTAACAACTCTTGCCTCTTTTCCCTTTTTTAGCGGCTTCTAAATTCAGGCCCAGCTCAATGGCTACTAACAACTCTTGCCTCTTTTCCCTTTTCAGCGGCTTCTACCTTCAGGCCCAGCTCAAAGGTTCTACTCAACAACTCTTGCCACTTTTTTCCTTTCAGCAGCTTCTACCTTCAGGCCCAGCTCAAAGGGCTACTCACAACTCTTGCCTCTTTTCCTTTTCAGCAGTTTCTACCTTCAGGCCCAGCTCAAAGGGCTACTAACAACTCTTGCCTCTTTTCCTTTTCAGCAGGCTTCTACCTTCAGGCCCAGATCAAAGGGCTACTCACAACTCTTTGCTCCTCTTTTCCTTTTCAGCAGCTTCTACCTTCAGGCCCCAGTTCAAAGGGCTACTCACAACTCTTGCCTCTTTTCCTTTTCAGCAGCTTCTTCCTTCAGGCCCAGCTCAAAGGTCTACTCACAACTCTTGCCTCTTTTTTTTTCAGCAGCTTCTACCTTCAGGCCCAGCTCAAAGGGCTACTCACAACTCTTGCCTCTTTTTCCTTTTCAGCAGCTTCTACCTTCAGGCCCAGCTCAAAGGGCTACTAACAACTCTTGCCTCTCTTTTTCCTTTTAGCGGCTTCTAAATTCAGGCCCAGGTCAAGGCAACTAACAACTCTTGCCTCTTTTCCTTTTTAGTGGCTTCTACCTTCAGGCCCAGCTCAAAGGGCAACTAACAACTCTTGCCTCTTTTCCTTTTCAGCAGCTTCTCCTTCAGGCCCAGCTCAAAGGGCTACTCACAACTCTTGCCTCTTTTCCTTTTCAGCTTCTTCTACCTTCAGGCCCAGGTCAAAGGGCTACTCACAACTCTTGCCTCTTTTCCCTTTTTTAGTGGCTTCTACCTTCAGGCCAAGGTCAAGGGCTACTCACAACTCTTGCCTCTTTTCCTTTTCAGCAGCTTCTACCTTCAGGCCCAGCTCAAAGGGCTACTAACAACTCTTGCCTCTTTTTCCCTTTTTTAGTTCAGGCTTCTACCTTCAGGCCCAGCTCAAGGACAACTAACAACTCTTGCCTCTTTTTCCTTTTCAGCGGCTTCTCCCCTTCAGGCCCAGCTCAATGGCTACTAACAATTCTTGACTCTTTTCCTTTTCAGCGGCTTCTACCTTCAGGCCCAGCTCAAGGGCAACTCTAACTCTTGCCTCTTTTCCTTTTCAGCGGCTTCTACCTTCAGGCCCAGCTCAAAGGGCAACTAACAACTCTTGCCTCTTTTCCTTTTCAGCGGCTTCTACCTTCAGGCCCAGCTCAAAGGACTACTCACATGTCTTGTCTCTTTTCCTTTTCAGCGGCTTCTACCTTCAGGCCCAGCTCAAAGGGCTACTCACAACTCTTGCCTCTTTTCCTTTTCAGCGGCTTCTACCTTCAGGTCCAGCTCAAAGGGCTACTCACAACTTATGCTGCAGAAGATATGTGAACCTGTCCTGGCAGCTTGATTTCAGAATTCTCACTTTTTGTGGAAACAATCAAAGAAATCTCCTTTTCCCAAAGAAAAAACTACACACAACTCTTCCTGCAGAAGATTGTACCAGCCCTATCAGTTTCACATACACATCTTGTTCCTCCTGTAGGAATATTTGGAGAAATCTCTCTTTACACAACTTCTACTCAAGAACTTTGTTAACTGGGAAACCCCATCTTTTTTCTATTTTGCACTCTCTTTCAACCAGAAATAAAATATATTGAACAGTTATTTCAAGCCTTGGGTTTTGTTTATTCCACTCTCTCTACTGAGCACATACTCAACCAGTAAAAATTCCTACAGTACTCAGATAAAGCTCTTTATCCATGATACTCTCACAAGTCCTCCTGGTCCAGAAGCAGCAAAATATCTCTAAAGCATAATTCTCCTACCACTATGCTTAATTGTAGAGAGGATATTTATTTTATGGTTTGTGAGTTTCATTTGATTTCCTTTATACCTAGCAGGAGTACATGTGACCAAATAATTCTAGTTTTGTCTCATCTTACCATAAAACAGTTCCTGTATTCATTCCCATATCCTAAATAGCTTCTAGCATAAGCTAGCATGCCTTTTATGTGTTTAGCCTTAAGCAAAGGAGTTTTCCTATGTCAACAAACTCAAAGTCATTGTCAGATAAGGCTAAGGTCTTTGCTATGAAATTTGCCTCCAACACTAGGTTAGTTGACAAAGAACCATTCCTTACCTGACTTTCCGCACCTCATGGAGCACAACTTTTGTAATATCACAATATCAGTTCGGCAGGTTTCCAGATTTATCAATCTACAAAGGCTACTGGTCTGGACAAAATCCCTATAGTTGTTCTCAAGTACCATCACCCAGAACCGTCTTCAATGTTGATGAACTTGTTTAGCTGCTGCTTTAAGAAGAGATCTTTCACAAGCCCATGAAAAATATCTAGTATGCACGCTGTGTACAAAAATGCAGGTGAGCCCTCATCCCCATCACAATATCACCCCATCAGCCTCCTTAGTATCATGAGCAAACTTTTTGATGCTCTAATCAACAAGAAAGTTGTTGAACACCCCCCAAAAAGAAAAAAACAAGTGATAAGCAGTATGGTTTTTACTCTTCTAGATCCACTGCTGATATCATAACTTCATCCTGAGTATGACAAAAACAACATCCGGTAGCAAGGCCTCTGATTCGAAGGTTTTGAGTAATGTGTAGCAAACTCTTAATTGCTGTTGTTCCCCAGTCCCCCTAATCTGAGATGGTAGCACCTGTTAGGGTCCCAACTATGGGCAAATAGTTACCCCCACCCCAACCTGGCATGAAAACACTCTGAAAGTATAAATAAACAGCAATACATTAAAAAAAATATTACCAGCAACATATTTTTAGAAAAAAAAAAATATTACCAGCTATACATTTTTAGAAAAAAGGTATATTACCAGCAACACATTTTTAGAAAAAAGATATATTACCAGCAATACATTTTTAGAAAAACAATATATTACCAGCAATACATTTTTAGAAAAAAAAAATATTACCCGCAACAAATTTTTAGAAAAAAAAAATATTACCATCAATACATTTTTAGGAAAAAAAAAATATTACCTGCAACACATTTTTAGAAAAAAGATATATTACCTGGAACACATTTTCAGAAAAAAAATTACTACCAGGAACACATTTTTAGGAAAAAAAAATTACCAGCAATACATTTTTAGAAAAAAATATATTACCAGCAACACATTTTTCGAAAAAAGAAATATTACCAGTAATACATTTTCAGAAAAAAAAATATTACCAGCAACAGATTTTTAGAAAAAAAAAATATTACCAGCGACACATTTTTTGAAAAAAGATATATTACCAGCAATACATTTTTAGAAAAAAAAATTACCAGCAACGTATATTTAGAAAAAAAAAATATAACCGGCAACACATTTTTAGATAAAAGATATATTACCAGCAATAGATTTTTAGAAAAAAGGTATATTACCAGCAACACATTTTTAGAAAAAGATATATTACCCACAATACATAAAAAACATATTTCCAGCAATACAACTTTGAAAAAAAAAAATTACCAACGATACATTTTTCTAAAAGAAATTACTAATGGTCCAAAGAAAATTAAATTTCGGCATTAAATGACCCATGAGTTGTTGATATGCTGCTAAACAAACAAACTCTGATATTATAACAATTATAATGCATAGAATCAGTGAAGCACTTGATAATGAAAACATCTCAAGGGTGATTACCCTTAAGATCACCAAAGCCTTTGACAAGGTATGGCACAGGGGATTGTTACACAACGTTGTTAATTATGAAACCTCTGGGAGACTCCTTACAGATATCAAGTCCTTCCTCTCAGGTAGGTCTATGAAGGTTGTCATTAATAGCCAGTCCTGTGAGGCACATGAGATTAATGCTGGCATCCCCCAAGGCTCTTTTCTAACATTACCCTTTTTCTGCTTTATATTAACAATCTGCTTAAAAACATTCATAAATATATATGCAAATGATATCACAATATACAGGTGCATCTCCAAATATCTAGATGACCTCATAGCTGATTTATTCTCTGACCAAGCTCTCACAACTCAAAACTAACTGGTGATATCATTTAATACCTCCAAAACAAAGCTAGTAACATTTCATTATCACTGAACAGATGATAAGCGTACACCAATCTTGAGTGGTAATACCCTCGAAGAGGTTCCTTGTCTTGATATAAAGTTCACAGAAAGAAAATGAATAAAAATATATTATTTATTTTAAACCATGAGTCAGTTTGTTTCATTCCAAAGTTAATATTTCATCATGATTTAAGTAGACACTGCCAAAATATTGTGCGGATGTAGTAGAAGACATACCATGTGGCTTTTTAGGGCCAATTAAGAAGAAATAAATAATATAATTCCGGAGCCGATGTTCTTATGAAAAAGTGTATAAAACTCACAAAATCTGGTCCCAAACATGAGATGCACAGATGTCACCAAGGTCCACATCACTTTAGCTGCTTATCTTCAAGACCTCATTCATGTCCACATGCAAAAACCTACTGTTCTTACAAACTACAAAGAGATCGATCCAAACTATGGCAACCCAGTTAACAGTACAAAGTAAATTCTATCTCTTGTATCCCCCGTTACTACTAAGCATGCATACGTAGACTCTTTCACACAAACACACATATAATAACATTTCACTGTTTCTCACATACATATAGAAATACAATTTATATTCTATTCCAGAACTTTATTAACCAAAACAAAAAAACATTACTTTCAAATCTATAACCAACTTCTTGAATTCTTGTTGTTATATTAATGTTTATTTGTTGAAACTACATTGTCCTTTTTGTACTGAATTTTATTCTTTCAATGAAGATCTTAGGATTATTCTTAATGGCTGAATTACGAGTAGTACCACAACAATATTTTATGTTATTGTATTTGATATGTCCCGGAAAGGGATATATTTGTTTGAAGTAGCAAAGTGGTTTTGGACTACTGTAACTGACTAGGACAATCTAGCAGGTAACCGTAATGGACTGGTCCTCATCATAGTGGTAGGCAATAGGTGAAGACTATAGGCGTAGCCAATAGGCGTCGTCCTATACCTCCACATCAGTCTGTATTTATGGCTGACACCAGCCAATCATATTACTGTGAGGGGGAACCCAGGTGTATGCATATTCATTACATCAGTATTAAATCCTGACAATCCAAATTTTGACATTTAACAAAAACCCAAGCAGAATGATTCCTAAAGGTTATAATAAAATTTACATTTTATATAAATACTAACTTATGAAAATTGAGACGTAGCAGAGCAGGGGTCACCTATATCATAGGTTTGGGGAAGGGAGATCATTGCAACGGCCTTGATCACAGTGTTAAGATTTATGCAGTGTTAATGCATTATTTTTATTTTTGTTAATTGAATATGCAAAGTTTTAGCTGAACTTTTCCCTGATCTTTAAACTTTCTTTTTTCTGATTTTTAAATTTACTTTTGTTCACAATGTTTTATCTGGTCTGTTCTCCAACCTTCTTGAAATTTTCTTTTTTCTCTTTGTTTTACTTGGTCTTTTCCCAATCTTCTTAAATCTTTCTTTATGTTTTCAATGCTTTATCTGGTATTTTCCTCAATCTTCTTTAAACTTGCTTTTTGTCACAATGTTTTACCTGATATTTTCTCTAATCTTCAAGCAGAATTCGTCCCCTTAAGAATTTTACTGTTGTTCTGCTCTGTTTATAACACAGTCTGTAAATTACATTCAGTTGTAATGTCATAATTTCTGTAATCCACCAGGTAAATAAAGGTGCCACATGTACTGTAAGCTTAGAAGCAGTGGTGTGTCTAGGGCAAGATAGTCTTACAAAGCCCATCTCTCTTCAGGATTGTTTTGAATTTAGAGTTTTCCTTCTCCTAAACTGGTTACAGCTTCGAGCCAGCACAGCTCATTTAGTCCTGCTATTTAACCATAGCTGGGGGACATCCAGTTATTATTCATTACAAATTTATCTTTCATCATATTTTTTATCAACTTTTATCATACATTCAAGTTTATTTTTATATTATACAGCTCTAGAGTAAACAGCATGTTTCAGAAATAAAGATTTGAATTTGCATTCCATATCCTTGGGAAACCATCTGACATGGAGAAATAATGCCTTACAAATTTGGCAACAGAGATCTGTTAGCAGCTGAAATTCAAATTTAATCATTGTATGACATCTTGAACATTTTCATATGATGAAATGGCTAATATTATCCTTACTATTATTATTATTATGATTTCACCCCAAGCAAGGCAGGAATGTCTCTAGTACACATGGGGTTACAGGGAGTGAAAGTGAAAGAGAATACTGAGAAGGGAGTTTTACAGGTAGGAAGTGTGAGAAAAGAAACTGTTGGAGTAGAAGTGGCAGTTGCATTTAGCTATTTCAACAGTAAAAGGGTGGGACCTAGTTGCCAATCTAGCAGCACACTTAAATTCACGTAGTTGGGGCACCAGGGAAAAAAGCTTGTCAGTGCAGTTGCCATGAAAATCTTTGTAGAAAAGACAGAGGGAAGCCAATTTCTGAAATTTGATTTTTATTCGAGAAAGAGTTATTAACAGTGAATGTTTTGCTAGTGAGTCTGTGTGAGTTAATACATACAGTGCATATACAGTATGCATACATAAAAATATTTGTGTGTATGTATGTACATGTGCAATTACGTATGTACTGTATATAATATATATATATTGTCATCCCCAGATAGACTGTTTCGCTGTATCACAGCTCATCAGTGTGGCTAGACGTCCAGTTGCCTCTAGCTAGGATTGAAACCTGACTGTGTAACCCTGGGTTTCACGCTTTTGTGATCATCAAACTGGATTATCTTTTTAAAAAGTGAATTTATTTATGCTTATATGTGTTTGAATATTTGTGTATGGTGGAGGGGGGAATTTTCTTCTGTATTTGTTTGGGATGATATTCTCACATACATAGACACACATATATACAGGTGTATGTATTTTAGTTTGGACAAACTAATATCCATGCAGTATCTGCATCTGTATATTTCTGAGATGAGGTATTATGTACATTATTTACATTATTCAGACTATTATCCTCATCTTTATCGTCATATTTATTACAACATTTCGGCTGTTGTATGCTCCGGTCTTCTTCAGGTGGTTGGAATGTCGAACTGAACCCTTTATTTCGCTCACTGGGGTAGACTGTTCTAGTTCAATGTCAATATGAGCACTGGTAAAAATGGTTGCTGAAGACATTAGGTTTATAATACCCAGAAATTCATAGACAGACATGGCACAGTGAATAAAGGCATTGGTTAGATCCAGTGACAGGACCCAAAGAGTGTGAGTTCAATACCCGGTTAAGGCAGTGGAGAACTTGGAGAGGGGAATTGATGGGAGATAAATGATAACTGACATCCATTAAACATGGCATGCGGAACTGAAATACAATGGCCGAAACATTGTAATAAATATGGTGACAAAGATGAGGACAATAGTTTGAATAATGTAAATAATGTAATATCCATGCAACTGAATATGTTAGCTCTATCACAAATATTTCCATTAAGTAACGCACATATATATATTAGTAAGACAATATTTTTTTTATAAATCCTGCAAAATTCTAAAATTAAATAATATTACAACATATATGCAGTCTCAAATTCTTAAGGAAAGTTAAGTTAATGGCTCTTTAGGCTTCCTCCATATGAATAGGAGTTCACTTTTTGAATAATAAGGATTATATGTCATAGTGGGGGTCATCAGGATTTTAGAGCTGCTTAGGTGGGGCATGGCCAAAAAAGGTTGGGTACCACTATGCCCTAGATATAATCAATGGAACCAGAACAATCTACTCCCATAGATTAAATAAAGGGTTCAGTTAATTTCCCTAATTTAAAAAAAAATATCATTTTACCCCCAAGCAAGACAATAAAGCCACTAAGACTCAAGGGGGTGACTGAGTGTGAGAGAATATGAGAAAAAAACATTATTAGAGAGAACAAAAAAAATCACAGGAATTATGAAGATAGAAGATAACGATTGACATTGCATTTAAATTTTTAAAGTTGAATGGAACAAGAAGCCAGAAGAGATTTCCACAAGTGAGAAGTGCAAGAGAAGAAACTTTTAACCTAGAACTTATGGTTACATCTAGCTATTTCAATTGTAAAATGAGACCATGGCACCAATCTAGTACTGTGCAATAAATTCATAAATTCTAGGTACAAAAGAGGAAAGCCCACTAGAACAATTACATGAAAACAGAAAAGGAACAAGAAAGCTACATTATGGTGGTGGGAAAGTGACTGAAGCCAAGATACCACGTTAGGATTAATAACATTGCAGATTCTGCTTTGTATTTTATCTATAATCTCTAAATATATAGTAGAAACACCAGACCAGATGTGGCAGCAATAGTCAATGCATGGATGAATGGTAGACTTATAAAATGTAAAAAGTTAAATGAAAGTAAAAAATCGCTACCCCATTTTAAAAATTAAAGAAATTATCCGATTCAAACAAAATTTTCAGTCATTATTAATAAATGAATTGCATACTGAATAGGTTATTTTATTAGAAAGTTTTGTGGAAATATTTATTGGACAGTTTGTCCTCACCCCCCCTCGCCCTTTTGTTTTTGATATTTTGTGAGTACTTTATAATTTGGAAGTGTTTGTGAATTTTTTTTAGAGTTGTATAAAGAAAACACTCTGAGAATGTTATTTCAGTAAAATATTTATATATCAAGTGTGAACATATGGAAAATTTATTCCAAACCTTACCAAAATAATTTAATAAAATTCAAAACATTTGCTGCTTGTAAGAATTCTTTTTATTAAAGACGTTTGCAGAATTGAAAAATGTAAAGTTTAAATGTCATTTTGAAGTGTTAACCTTATCTAAAATAATTTTTTTTCTTTTTAGCAACTGTTAGATTATTTTTTGCATGGATGTTCAAAAAGGGCATAATTTTGAATTACCTCCTTTGGCTGACTAGCCAACTTTATTGGAAGAGTACAGTAATAAGATAAATGATGATTTAATAACTCTTAAATTCAGAACAATTATGCCGTTGGGTACAATTAAATATTTTATGACATCAAACAGGTTAGAAAATAATAAAAGAAAATAAAAGCAATGAATTAATACAAAAATATCATTTAAATATTTTTTTAATTAAATTCTTTTTTATACTTCTAATTTAATATAAAAAAATAAAATTATTAATTTAAGTTTAATAAAAGTATACAAAAATTATATTCTTAAACTAATAATGGTTAAGTTTAAAGGTAATTTATTTTTAAACATAAATACCAATTTCTTGATTATTGCACTGCTGGTGTCCCGTATTTCTTTATTTTTTAAAGTCAGGGGTGAAATTATACAGTTTCTGTTATTGACCTGTGACATTGCAGGCTAGCGCGTGTAAATAAACGTTATTTTCATTATCACTCCTCTCAACTAAAAACTTATTTAGGAAGTCAGAGACGGCATCTCTAGGTGAAAGAAAACTACGCGGGGAAGTTTTAAGACATAAGCGTAAGTCCAAGCCCCAGGGGGGGGGGGCTCAGGCAGTAGTACCCTTCCTTCGAGAGGGGGCTGGGTTTATTAGCTAAGCGCCCTCAAAAGGGGAAGTGCCGAGGGGGGAGTCAATCTTCCTGTTATATCCACTTTAAACATTGAGCTTGTTGTGTCACATTTAGTAGCGACGTCGGTGCATGATAAATAAATACTCTGTAGTAATAAAAAAAAAAATTAAGGTATCAGACTCTTCAGTAAAAAAGACATGGGTAAGAAGAGTAATAAAAGACATTTAAAAACGTGAATGAACAGTGAACTGATAATTTTAAAATTACAAAATTCACCGACTTCTTATTTTAAACTGTGATAGTAACTTTTTCAAATTTTTGTATTTATTACATGTCTATCATGCCTGGCAGTGTTATGAAAAGTTCAGTATAAGAGGGATAACTGACTGAACAACGAATTCTCCTTCAGTGAATTCTTTTCTTCAGTATTTATTCCGTCTCTCTTCTTGTGCTATCGGATAATAAATATTTCTGTATTTGAGTAAATAAACTTTACTAGTTGGAGAATACTTTAAAAATACGTCTTCGTAGTTGTACAAAGTCACCTTGCCGGATATTCTTTTTTTTTTAAAAGAATTTCTGAAAGTAATAATGAAAAATAAAAAGACAACAACACAGTGATGTAAAAGCGCGCCAATAGCGCAGAAACTGGATCCGGAAGTTGATAACGATCACGTGACAAGCCGTTTCTTTGGTTTTTATTCGATATCCATAATGGCGGAAACTGGAATATTCAATGTGCCTGGTTGAATCTCGATGAATACCAGCCGCCGGGAGGATGAACAAAACCGACAGAGATGGAAATATGCCTCTTCCATGTGAGTTAAATTGGGATTTGTTGATTTTTGCCCCATAAACGCCACGTAACATCGACCTCAAAGCCGAGGTTTTGGTCGGATTGCTAGTTTTGGGGCACAGCCCAGGGCCTTCACGAGGGCCCCGGCCCGGTTAGAGTGAAAAGTAATGACCGGAAGTGCCCGGCGGCAGCAGTAGTTAAAGCAATGGCATTCATGTTTCTTGCATTTATACATTTCGTCAGAATGTTTATTTTGGGAGGTTAAATTAACTAAGTTTTATTTATATACTCACCTAACTATTTATTTATCTGTTATTTTTTTTATTCTACATCGTATAAAAATATTACCTTCCTTGAGCTCTGTACATTAATATTTATTTACCATATTTCATATTGTAAATAAATACGTATGAACTTTTGTCAAACAAGAAAAGTCGTTTGACAAGACTTTAAAATCTGATATTAATTTAAATTCATATTTTTATGAATAGGTTTTGAAATTATAAAATTAGTTTCATCAGCCTATTCATGAATATAATAAAATTAAAATAGTAATCTGGAAAAAAAAAACTAAGTATCTAAAAAAAGTAGTAGGAACTTAAAAGATAGTTGACTTCAAAGTAAATCAACATTCATTTTTGAAAGTTTTAAAAATATTTTGTTATAATTTTATCTTTAATTACATGTTTACTTTTCCCCCTCAAAAAATAACCTCTTCTAAAATGAAAATGTTAAGTACAGAATACTAATAATATTTAGATTGTGTATTGTTTATTTTAAAAAAAATTAAACTCGCATTTCTAAAAAAAAAAAAAAAAACTCTTTATGTTTCTTTAAATTTAATTGGATTTTAAAAAAAGTTCTTTTGATGTGATTCATTAAAAAAAAATTTTAATCTATTTTATTTTCCAACTTTCCACGAAATACCAGTGTTTTTTAAATTGCCTCCTTATTTTTTTTATACATTGTCTCAATTAAAAAAAGCCCGCCAATTTAAAACAAAATGAATCTACGTAAAAGTCTGCATTTACTTTTTTTTTCTATTTTTTTTTTTTTCCTATTTTTTTTTTTTCCTATTTTTTTTTTCAGTATTAAATGAGCTAAAAGTTCACTTTACAAGTCTCGATTGTCTAAAAATAAATATCAATTATTTTATTACACAATAAAAACAATTCTGTTAACTTCATTTAAAATTACTTAGCAATTCCAATTATTCATTTTATTTTTACGAACGTCAAAGATTTGCATTTTTTTAAAACAAACATCATAAAAAAAAGTAAAAGAAATACACACTCATGCATAAACTTGTTTACTTTCAGTAAATTTTTTAATATAAAAACTAAAAACATTTCGTCAGTTCTTGAAAACTAATTGTAGGTAAAAAAGGTCAATCAATAAAAAAAACTATTTTACAAAGTAAAATATTTCTATATTTTATTGACTTTTTTGCTACTTTTTTTTAAAAAAAAAGTAAAACATCTCGAAAACTTTCATTTGGGGGTAAAAAATTTTCTAGTCTCAGTTTTAAAACAATTTTTTTTATTTTATCTAAAAAGCAAATAAATTCATATTTTGTTTTTTATACCCTGCCCTCGTAGGACACACTGTTTTAGTTTTTTTTGTGCTTTTATCTTTGATTTGCCATGATTTCTTTGGAAATCTAGTGAAAAACTTTTTCACTAGGCTTCCAAAAAAACATTTCTTCACTTTTTTCAAAAAGTGAAGAAATGGTTTCCTATTAAAAATGGTTTTCAATTCACAGCTGTCTTTTTCCTAGACTGGCTGCCAGTTAAGGCTCAGCTCATTCTACTTTGCTATTTAACAACCAATATCTGAAGAACTGTGTGATTAAAACTTTTTATTTAAATTTTTGAGACACTCAAGCGGAAGAAAAATCCGTATCAAATCAGTTTCATTATTTTTGCAATTGTAGAAATTCAGAAAATCCATTCTCTTGTTTACAGTTTTGTTTTTTTTTTGATATGCCTTACAAGCAAGTTTCATAGGATTCTGTTCTTTGTCTTTTAGTTTCTTTTACTCTAAACCTGCAAGTACCGACAAAAAGATGCAAGTATTGCTGTTTTTGGTGAAATGTGTGTGGCATCAAGAAAACCGACTGATGCACAGCTTTACACTACAGTCAGCCAAATTTTATTTATTTTTTAAAAATTCTTTTTTAATCCTTTCAATACCCTGCATTTAACTAAGTTGCGTTTGTTGTTTCTTTAATAAAGTCGTATACATGAGGTCACTGTTTGTAGTGGGAGGCGTTACAACTTGTGGATGACGTTGAAAAATTTCAGAGTAAAAGAATTCAACATTTTTAGAAGGATTGAATTTCAACATGTGGAGTAAAATTTAACATTTATTTTTTATATATAAAGAGTTACAATCCAAGAAGTGAGAAAATATACTAGTGTGTCCACAGTTAAAAAGAAAAGGCTTTCTTGTTAGAATATATATCATATGTGGGTGTGATGCGCCATGTGGCTGGCTGAAATTAAGATGATGGCCTGCCGAGGTAAGAAATCTTCCCTGGCAGAGAAGAAGAATCCAGTTGTTTTTGCGACTACATTCTGGATCAAAAAGAGGAAGAGGATGTTTTGTCTTGAAACCGTGGTTGTCTTGGCAGACAAGTTTAGGGTAGTTATTATTGTTTTTTTTTTTGTTTTTTTTTTTAAAAAAACTAGTTATTTTAATAGCTTAATTTGTTTGTTCTTCCTTTGTGTGTGTGGCTGTTCATTCTTTTCATCTTTCTGTGATGTTAAATATTTCAGCTCAGACCACAGTAGTTATAATAATATTGTAGTTTGAAATATTAAGGCTTTCTTGGATTGTTGAGAGAGAATTCTTTCAAGTGCTTGGTTAAAAGCTGATAATATAATTAGACAGTAATTTTGCACTGATGAAAACTTCAATGCTGAACATATTGAACAGAAATGAAACCTTTCCCATGACTTCAGACACTCTACTCTTAATTTAATTTTTATCCTCATTTTATATCAAAAAGAATTTTGTATAGGCTAACTACTTTTTTTTTTTTCTTTCTTGGCTCAACAGCTAATTTCTGTGAAGACAAGGTTTTCATTGGCCCAAAAGCAATTTCATATAGGCTCACAAATTCCTTTCTGTCTTTTTCCTCCGAATTTGAGAGGAGTGAGTAAAGGGAGTTATTATTTAACACTCACTACAAATATTCAAATTGGTTGGCAGTTAGCCAATCATCTTAAATTCTGTCAAAATTAGACAAAATGCCATAATTTATTTAAATTATTTTTGGACACTAATTTTGTACTTGTAAAATATCAAAAACTTAACTATTGCTATTTTTTTTTTTTTTTTTATCAGCTTGGGTAAACTAGTTGTAGTAATGGTCTGCAAACATTACTATCATGACATGTTCTAAATATGCTCTTGATTGTGTTTTCTTAGCACTATTTAAATAGACTGATCCACTTGTAAAAAAAAAAAATTTTTTTTAAATATAATTTTTGTAGTATTTTCTAAACTTTTTTAGTTCGCAACACTTTTCTGAAAAAAAAAAAAAAATTTCTTATTGATTTAGAAGTGGGGGTCCTGTTCATAATATAAATACAGTCACAAATCGATCCCTGACTTTTAGAGTTATTGGGCCTAGCTTTTATTTACAAATATCAAATTTCAGACTGCTTGATATCTGCATTTTTTAATTTTCTTAATTTTTAAAGTTTTTGAAGAGGAATTTTTTTTTTTTTTTTTTTTTTTTTTTTGGAAGCACATGCATAAACATTTGGGGATAACAATTATTTATCTTAAATGAAGAATAAATGTACAATGCGAATTTCTATTAATTAAATTTTTAAATGAAAAGTGTAGCATTTCTGATGAGGACAATAGTCCATATGTAAATATTGTAAATAAAAAATATATTTAAAAAATCTTTTTGTAATAAAGAAAAAGTCTGTTTTTTGCATACAGAATAGCTAATTGTAGATAACTCTGTAAAATGTCAGGTTCTGATTTTTACACTCTATATCGATATGATGTATAGGACCCCCTTCTAAAATAGTAAAAAGATTTTTTTTTTTATTCTAAGTGTTGTGACTTACAGAAGACCTAAAGAATGCTCAGTCTGTAAAAATTATTTCCAAAAACATTTTCCCTATTTTTTTTTTTTTTTTTTTACAAGTGTGTTTTTTCTTAATCAGCTTATGAAAGTCCCTTTGCTGTTCATGAGAAGGAATGGGTCATTACCCTACCAAGCTGACCCAATGTGTGTTGGTAGGGGCTTACAGCACCTGGTATTCCCAAGTTGTCACCTATCTAGGTAATGGTTAAAGTTGATCTGATGAGAACGGGTGTTTCAATGCAATGTGGCTGTAAGCAGACCCCAGTCTGTTGTTCCATTTTGTTTATTATTGGCAATGTGACTATAATTTTCTAACAAAAGAAAAACTAATACACTAAATTTTTTGACTTTGTCTTCTTGAGGTAACAGCCACAACATTTTACTGATTCCTTGTATCATTGTACCATTCCAGTAAAAATATGTCCCCCCACCTCTCCCAGCAAAAACTCTTTCTTTACAAGAGCCAGATCAGACTCAAAATGGTGTATTACTGCCATATTTGGGCTGGAGATGCCCAATTGTCACTTGCATGTTTTGATTGAGTTTAAAAGCGTCTACATGGACTTGTGGGTGATGAATTATTTTCCACTCTACAATCCCTTTCCCACAGATGAAATGTTGTCAGTCTCTCCCTGCTCTATCATTATATTTCCATGGCATGTATTCTCATGAGGTAAGTTCCTTAGTCCCATCATACCTGACCTTTGCACCTTTACAACTGGGACCTGCCAGGCCAAAAGTTTGAACCATCTCTACACCACCATTCCCTTTGTTTTCTATTATTAAGAAGTAAGTTCCACTTGGATAGCATCTTCCTAAGAGCAGCTACAGCTTTGTGGAACAGACTCCTGGCAGGATGTTTTCCTCTTCAAGCCTAGGGTTAACTGTTATCTTTTCTGCATAACCTCATGAAC